CCCAGTGCAAAGACAAACGCATCCCTTTGGGTAGCCTCCCTGAGTAGTCAACAGCATTATTGATGTTTGGAACGTAAACACAGAATAAAACCTTGTTCAGAGCTTAGAAAGCAAATTCCAACATGCTTCAGTAATCACCACTGCTGTTGCCCCTAGTAGTTTATCAACCTATTAACGGACAATATTCATTTTTATCAGAAAAAAAAGGAGCATAACAATGATGGATGCTAAGCCTGCAGGAGATACCTTGTGCTGGAAGACTCCAGCTGAGATCCGGACATCAAACAGTGCTGATGCCATGGTGGCCTCCCAGAGACCCGATGTGCAAATCAAACTCACACAGGAACCTTGAAAAACAGTTTTTCATACACGTGAGCAAAGCCCTCTCTGCAGTATTTCTACACAGCACGAAGCATACGGTGGACAGAGGGAGGCCAGTGGCAAAAGCCTGGGGAGGCAAGTTTTTCCATGTGGCAACTGCAAGCCCTCTTCCCCAGGCCAGCAAAATCAGATAGCCTTCCCACACCCTTCTGGGGTGGGAAACAAGGCTGTCCTGATGCCCTGCTCCTGCCAACCATGAAGGCACCGTGGCTAGGATGTGCACCAACAGACATTGAACACCACCAAGGAGGCTCCCAGTAAATAAATTCCTGTGTGTGTGCTGGTGGTGCAACGTTGCCTGCCGGACTATTTCTAACTGCTGCGGCAGCAGGCGAAGTCATTCTGAGTAAGTGTGGGATACCTGTTTCAAAAATTAAGGGTCTTCAGCCAACCAATACAGAGAAGCTGCATTTTGTTGAATAAAGCCTGAAAGTTTAATAGCGGAGAACTCGAATGGCAAGATTCAAGCAAGCCTTAGCTTGTGCTTGATAAACAAGCATGCTGTACCCAAAGCAAAACCATGCAAAGCTTTTCAGAGTTGCAGCAAGATGGCTGCGGTGATAGCAGCACATAATTACCCTTCTGCTCACCCAAGCTTCAGAGTGAAAGGAGCTCGGCGTGTTCTCTAAGACTTCTTGTTAATGAGCACGTCACAAGGCTGACCCCGAGCTGACCAGGTCTGTGTGAAAATCACCACCTCAGTTACAAAAGGAGTCACAGCCCCAAGAGTCCAGAGAGCATCACCAAAGGAACAAGGTCCAGCTGCCTAATACCTCTTGTGAGCCGCTACTAAAGCCACTTGTCTTCTATAAAACTCTGAGAACATGCACTCTAAATATAGAATAAACATTAGTAAAGCACAAGCCACTTCTTTCTCCTCTTGTCTTTCACACCATTAAGGTTCTAGCCTTGAGGGCTCACAGGTAAGCATCCAAAGGTGAAAAGGAGACTAACAGATACTTATATGCAGTCAGGGTGGAGAACAAAGCTGCGGAAACACCACCACCACCTACTTCCATGCCGCAGAGACGACTTCTGCACTTGGTGGTGATGCCCTCAGCAGTAATAAAAACGCCCTCCCCCCTCTCCCCCCCACCCCCCAACCTGTAAGTCACAGCAAGAGTGAAGGGCAGACAAAACGTGAGTCATCCAGGTATATGGCAGACAGGGGAATGTGGGTGTGTTACCCCATGGCTCCAAGCCAATGTGACCTCAATTAAATTTCGGTGAATGATGGGCCTTCCCCTCTTTTATGTACGTACTATCTCCTTGGTCTCCAGAGATACATCCATTTAGCCTACACACAGCTATTTAATCCGGAGAGCTCTCCTGGCAAGTACGAGTCAACATGTGGTGGTGGTGGTGGTGGCGGCAGTGGTGTTCCTCTTCCTCTCCATGTGAGTTTTGCTCACTATGCCTTGTGTTTACTTCCTCCACCCTGCACTCCTACCACATCCAGACCCTTGCCCGACCCTATGGTGTAACTACTGGCCTGTTCATTCACATTTGCCACCCGTTCCTATTCTCCTGCTGCCTTAGAGCACACAACCCAATCACACTCAGAAAAGAGGAAGGCCCAGGGAGGAACAGAGTTTGCATCTGGGTTAATTTGGAAATTCTTGCACTCAAACGCCGTTGAAGTGTTTGCCAGGGACTTCAGTGGAAGCAGGCTAGCTCTAACATCTAGCACACTCCCATAGGAAACCTGTGTAAACTAATTCGGTCGAACCGTTAGCACTCGGGGTGATTAACCGCAGGAGTCTCTGATCTCCCCTTATTAAAGAGAAGGAGAATGAAATTCACTGATTCATATCAGCTTAATACAAATCCTTGTGAGATTTGCAGTTGACTTCAGCAGCAGCAGCAGGATCTGGTAACCTCCACGGGGGAAGAGGAACTCTCTTGCGAGCACACCTTCAGGTGACGGGGGAGCTGAAGGCCCTTGCACTGGACTGCAGCCGATGACCAAGGCTGAAGCGTGCAGCCTGCCAGCCCGGGGTGTGCAGCAAGCAGGAGAGAGCACAGAAGCGCCGGGGCTCTGAGAAGATTTTTACGCTGGTGCCACTTTTGAATACTTGGCACTTGGTAGGCAGACGTGTGCCATCTTGTTTTAAACAGCTCCATCTTCACATGTTAAGTGTGCTCAAGAGAGATTTGGGCTCGGGGTAAGCAGGATTAAGGATGGCTGCAGTTTGACTGCAGAAGTCATTCTCTGCCACGAGGACTTTTCTCTTCCACAGCTAAAATAGTGCTGTGGGGCAGCTAGGGGTGCTCACCCTATGTCTGAGAGGCCACCCCTAATAACCCCAAACCCTGTTTTTTGATGCCCCAGCCCGAGCAAAGTAGCACATGAATATAGCTTTAGTAACACTAAACAAATCTTGTTTTTCAAGACACCCTTACAAGATTGCTCGGTGTTTTACATATGTTTTATGAGATAAGCTTTCTGATACCTATGTTGTTCCACTGCATCCGTGTACCGTCTTGCACCCAAGCGCAGCTCCAGGACGCCAGACACAATGAAGCAGGTGGCGAACGCAACACGCCGTTTCCAGCTCTACCTAACGCACCAGAGCACAACTGGTGCAACTGCTCATTTCACTGTTTCCCCCAGAGACCTCCTTAAGAGCAGGGACTGCCTCTCGCAGGCTGCATGCTGTAGGGCAAAAATCCAGTGTTGGCTCCAGTCCCAAAAGTATAGGAGTAGCATTTGGGAAATGGTTAAAGGAACAGCAGCATTTCTTTTTAAATACCAAGCTATAACCGTGCCTGTTTAGATCTGGAAAGAAAGTCATACATGAGGAAAGCTTAGTTAGGGTCAGGAAAAAAAATAAAATAAAATAAAAAATCAAGTGGGCAAAGAGAACAAAGCCCTTTTTCAAGAATGCTATTGTTCATGCAACTATAAACCTAGGATCTATAAAACTGTCAAGTAGAAACCGAAGTTGGCTGAAGCAGATAACACATTACTAAATGCTAGAGCATCTTATATAATTATTGAAAAGCAAAAGAAACAAGTTTCTCAGATGAAATCTTCAGAGATTTCAGTACTTATGGATGTGTTAGGATGTAGACCTTGTGCAGACGTAAAAGGTTCTGAGTGGCAGCTGTGCAGACAGAGGTGATCCTGCAGCTACCCAGGTGTGCTCCAGCGTCACCGAGATGGGACAACACTTCAGGCACACCATACGTGCCAGCTGCAACATCGACCTTGGACCTCTCATCCAGAATCCACGGGCAGAGCAACAGAGGAGGTAAAAAAAAGACTGGTTTAATTGTAAGAAGTTTTCACATGAAAAAAGGCTTCAGATAAAGGATGACTCATAACTTTAATTTAGCTGTATATACTTGCCATTTGCAAACCAAACAAGACATTCCCTACTCCCGGTGTTAACCTATAAAACACGCCAGCAAAGACAGCTTTCAGTTGAACCAAGCATGCCTCGGAGATAAGGGGTGAGAAGCATTTTTCTGCATCATTATGTTACTTACATGGACTCAGAAAGAAACGGCACCAGTCACCATACAACCAACAGACCAAAATGTGAAATTCAAGCGCATTCCTGAAGCACATTTGGGAACAAAAAGTTGATATCGCCACGCTCGTTTTAAATACTGCAAAAATCTGACTGGGTCTTGCCTGTAATTTGTTTTCCATGCTCAGCTTTATTGAGCGTTGCATACATCCAAATTCCAAGCTGAGTGACATTTCAAACCAGAGGAATAATTTCTTTCTTCTTTTTACACAGAGTAGTGAGAAAAACAGGTCCTATTCATCGAGCATTCGTGTTGAAACCATCTTATTGCCACATATTTCTAAAGAAACTAGAGCAACGAGGTCCCTCGGGACAACTGCAACAGACGGGGTAAGGAGGGGAGGCATGCAGCAGCCCCTGTGCATTGAGCTGCAGCAGAGCAGGGGCAGGCACACATCCCCCACGCACAGCGACAGCCTTTGACACCTCCCCACCCTCAGCCTTCCCAACCTCGGAATGCACACCAGGATTCCTACTGGAATCTTGGCTCCTCACCCACTGCGGAATTGCTGAATTCCCAGGACAGAGCAGGCTTCAATAGAAGCTCCACGTAGTTTATATAGTTTAAAAGGTGTTTTATGCACGCACTCTTTATTCCTTGAGTCAACTTTATTCTTTGCAACGCTACACAGCTGATTTTCCCTTCGTTCGCATGAAAGCGGTTACACCAGCTTATCTGAGAAGCCCAAGAAAACAAAGCCAGAAATTTTTCATGCTGAAAAGACCACTACAAAAAACTTCTAGGATTTGTTATCTTTGAATATGCAAAGCCTAGTGTCTCCAACAGATGTTCTTCCTCTAACAAATAATTCGAACTGAGTTATCTTAAAAACGGTAAATTAAAAATTCATCTTACAGGTGAGATAAGTGCCAATTTGATATTCAGAGCAAAAATTTTCCCTAAAAAGATGCGTTACATCAGCACTGCACTTATACAATCCTAGCTTTTAGAATCCTGAAACTACAAGCATTTGCTGCCACCCCCACCCCGCCCCCCCTTTCCTTGGGAAACTCAACCACTACCAAATACATAATAAACTCTCTTTGGACATACCCATGCACAGAAGAAGATTAGAGCAGCCATTCAGATAAAATATTATAGGTTTATTTAAAACTTATTTTCAACTTGAATATGCAAAATACAAATTCCAACAAAATGTTCATTTTTACTTCGTAGTTTACAAATATACAAAACAGAAGTTTGCTTAAATTTATATTACATATTTATTATGTAAAGAACTATATAGAAAACATTTGTTCTGCTTAAGGCATATTTGGGAATAAACCATTGTACAAACTATTGCACATCGAAACCACAGTGCATTACAGACTGTCTGCATAAAGTTACTTTCTTTAAAAAAAAGATAAACCAGGTTTATTTACCTGATTTAGGTCATAATCGGCGATCGGAAGACAAAAATATTTCCTTGTCAGATATGCAGCAGTTTGAGAACTTTGGCTTCCTGTTTTTGGTACCTCTAGAACCAACAGTCACTAAGCACCACGAAATAGGCTTTTAAAATAGAATTCTGTACCTGAATTTTTCCTCCTGTTTTAACATCGTAATGGCTTTTAGAAGGAAAAAAAAAGGAAAGTACAAGATGACATTTACATCTAATATTGCATTGAAAGAAAATTAAGGGAACGCCATTTCCCTGTGTAATATCCCCACCCTCCGAACTACACACAGTCTGTTTAACCCTGATATCCGTGACTTCCAGTCACTCCTTGGCATTTTGTAGTCCGGAAATAATTCAAGTTGGATTTACAAATGGAATGATAGAAGATCCAGTCATTGACCCCAACGTTTTTGGTTCTTTTTTCTTTTAAATGTGTATATATATAAAAAAGTTGCAAAGTCTGTATGCAATTATCCCTCTTTTCCACTCTTTAGAAGACTTCACCGTGATTATCTGTAGTGCTTTAAACTGTGTTCTCCCCCGTCCTGTGGAAGACAGTCCTTGTGCTGTAAATACTGAATCTCTACGGCAGCTGGGGAAAGATCCACTGCTTCCAATTAAAAGTGCCTCTTCATGTGTAAGGCGAGGTGGTCCGACCTGGAAAACGCCCTGTCACACCGCTGGCACTGGAAAGGGCGGTGGCCTGTGTGTTTTCTGTAGTGACGAGTAAGTTCATCGGATCGGGCAAACTTCCATCCGCAGCCTTCCCAGTCACAGTGGTAAGGTTTCTCTCCTTTTTAAAAAAAAAAAAACCACAAAAAAACCACAAAACAAACAGAAATTAAAACATGTCAGGTTTCTTTTTTTCATGGCTACCACTTCTGGTACTTTTCTTTCAAGAAAGACTAGCACACATTGTTCTGCATAAGAAACGGGGCAGCGACAAGGAAAATGCAGCAAACTACTTAAAGCAGTTGCAAGAAAACTACAAAGACTAACAGAGTAAGACTGTCTTTTCAAGACATACAGGTACTATAAAATGTTGGCGTCACTGAAATCTCCACTAAAATACTCATTTCCACCGTTCGTCTTGCACACGAGCCTTCAGAACACATACGTTTAGACAATAACAGAGTGTATTTTTGCCGGCTGATGTTATACGAGCAAATAGCAACCAGAAATAGCTCAGCAGACATAACGCATCTAGATAATTGTAGGTCTCAAGAATTAAAAAAACAGCTGGAAACTGTTTTCATTAGCTCAGCCTGATTAAGGACTCACTCTTAGTGTCTTCACTATGACAAAACCACTGTTGACGGCAGGACGAGTTTCCCGGACAGTTACCAACTCCTGGTCCCACACATACCAGAGGTGGTGCTGACCAGATCGGGACAGATGGCAATTGACCAATTGCCATCTTTACTTGACCAATTTTTTCCCCTCTACTGCCATTAGCTGGAGACGAAGCCTTACTACTGCACTACCAGTAAATTTCTCCCTTGCCTGACTCCTCTTCAGGAGAAAGTTTTGAATCAAGTCCACAACCCAGGGATTTAAATTATGCAAATTCCCAGGTTATTTAATCACTGTTACGGAATGCCCGCACTGGCGAAACCGCGCACGATGTACCTGCTTTCACAAGCTCAGTTACTGCAACACCACACTCAGCTGCAAGGTTAAAGTCTGAACTCGGGCTCAGGGACACATTTTGGCAGATTTTATCCCAATTATAGCAGCGGCCAATGAATCCGTTAAACTCTGCCTCTTTGGTGCCAGCGCAGGGGAAGACGTGCTGCCACGAACCGGCGAGGCACCCCGTCAGTGCTGCTGGCACAGCTGAAAGCCCCACGTGCAAGGGGCCCATCAAGGTTTCCTCGGAAAGGGAACGGCAGCTCGCAGAGGTGCGCGATCTCTTGCACTAGAGCAAGCCAAGACAAGAGGGGTGCGTGTGCGAAGCATTTAACCACAAGCAAAGAAAGCAGTATCTCAGAGAGAGGTCGGCTCCCTTCTCAGAAGTGGGCCAACTGCATCTCGAGCAGCAAATCCCAGCTGACTTCCAACCACCTGCTAATTAGCTAGCTGCACAGCAAGAGAGGAGCAACAAACTTTGCCTTGGCAAGAAACCCACCCGCTCCCACATCTGAGTCATTCTGAACCATTAAGCAAAACGCCGAGCCAATAAGCAAAGACTACACAAGGCTTCATGTAGCCAAAGGGGGAGGAAAAAAAGCCTGGAAACCTAGCAGAGAAGGGTTACTACTTTTTAGCCCTCCTCCTGTGCTCTCCCCTCTCTCACTGTCCAAGGGGCTCACCTCCTCCCCCTCAGACCGGGGCAACTTGCTGACCCCACGCTGGAACTGACCTGTGTGGGTTCTCAGATGCGCCTTGAGATGAGAGCTCTTGGTGTAGGTTTTGCCACAGCCCGCATAGTCACAGGTGTGGGTGGCCGTCCTTTTCCTAGGCCATGACCTGCGGCCCCTCTTAGGCTTGGTCTCCTCGGGCAGGCAGCTCCCCGGCGGCATCAGCTCTAGAGGTGGACAGGGAGGAGTGAGCACCAGCCCAGCGAGAGCCAACGCAGGAGCCCCAGCAGACCCGCCGCCGCGGCACGGGGACTCACCTTGGTACTGGAGTGTGCCGGGGGGCAGCTGCTCAGGCAGGAAGGCGGGGTAACCAGGGGCCGGGGGGTACCCTGGGGGCAGTGGCAGCGGTGGGTGGCTCAGCCCCTGGGCAGCAGGGAGACAGTCTCTGCCACTCAACATCTCCTCGGGCCCCAGCGAAGGTGTAGTCCGGGTGGGCAGCGGGCGGCCCAGGGAGAAGTCGTGCTGGGGGGCTCCTCGAGGGCCGCTCCCGTGTGGTGGTGGCGGTGGGGCCAGGGTGCACGGCGGGGCAGCCTCTTGCTTGATTTTGGGGCACATCCGTGGCAGGGGGCTGTAGGGGGCCCCGGGGCCCTCGGTGCCAGGCGGTGGGGCGGCAGCTGGGGGGCCGTTCTTGGGGCTGAGCCCCGGGTGGCTGTACTCGCCCACGGCCTTCACCACGAACTTGCCCTGCAGGCTTCCCAGGGGCGGCAGCGCCGCCGGCGCCGGCAGGTACACCGGGTCCAGGTCGGGCCGCATGAGCTCCGCCACGAAGCCTCCCGAAGGGGACACGTCGGTGATGTCGGCCAGGTTGAAGGGGGTGGCGGGGCCGGCGGCGGGGGCCCCGTCGCGGCTGCCGCCGCCGTAGAGGAGGCCGGCGGGCTCGGGTCGGGGCAGCGGGTAGGCGAAGGGCCCGGCGGGGCAAGGGCTGGCGGTGGGGGCCGGGGCGGCGGCGGGGGCCACCACCACGGCGGCGGCGGCGGTGGGCTCCTGGTGCATCAGGGAGTTGGAGAGGATGAAGTCGAAGTCCAGCAGCTCGTTGAACTCCTCAGCGTCGCGGCGCGGTCCCAGGGCGGCGGCGGCGGTGGTCTCCAGCTCCGACGGCGGCGCCTCCGCGGGCCGCGCCAGCTCCTCCCGCCACCTCTGCGGGGAGACGGGCAGGGCTCAGACCCCGGCCCGACCCCGCCGCCCCGTCCCCCTCCCCACAGACTCACGGTGCCGGGGCCCGCGGCGCAGGTGGCGGCGGGAGGCAGGAGCGCGCCGCCGGGCGCCATCTCGGCCTGGCCGGGGGGCTGCCTGCGGG